TCCTCCTGGCAGCACCACAGGGTTGGGGCCAGCAGGAGCCACCCTGGGCCAGCCCTGCTCCTGCCCTGCCACCCCCAGGAGACGGTCCTGCTTCCCAAGACACGGCTGATTCCTGGCAGCACGAGCTGTGGTGCCCAGCCCCACGGCAAGGGAGGGGGCTGTGTGCCATAAAACCCCAAGGTTTTGGGGTGGAGGGTGTGGGAGCCAAGGGAGGATGGGCTGGGGGTCGTTTGGCCCCATTCCCAGGGACCCTGCAGTCACCCAGTGTTTGATGTCCCTGCCTGAGCCCCCAACACCCGCATTACCCTCCCTCTGCCTCCCACAATCCGTTCCAGCACGGGGATTAGGTGGGTTTAGGGTCGGGTTTGAGTCGGAAATGGGATGCTTTCAAATCAGCCTGCGTCAGTTGGGCCTCTGTCACTCATGCCCAGGGGGATTAAAATAGATATGAGGATTATTGGAGGGGAGATGACACCCCCACCTTGGGGGCCCCCACTCTTCCCCTGCCCTCAGCACCACAGGGTGTGGGGTGCCCAGCTCCAGCCCCCTGGGGTGTCTCCCTAAGGGAACAAATTTCTCCCTTTTTCTCACCTTTCTGCTCATCCCAAGGCCCCACATCCCATCCCACACCTCTCAAAACATCCTTCTGGCATAGAGTGGGAGGAGGCACCACTGCAGCAGCTTCCCATTCCCATTTCCCTTGTTTCCAGCCCAATGCCAGTCCCAAAACACCCCTTGGGCTTGCTGCTGGTCCTGCAAGAGAACCTGGACCCCATGGAGGGTTCCCAGCCTTGCACAACCACCGTCCCCTTGGGTGGGTTGGGGCACAGGCCCAGCTGCTGCAACAGAATCATGGAATCATGGAATCTTCAGTGTGGAGGGAACTGACAGGGGGATGGCAGTGCCCAGGAGAAGGCTCAGCACCCAAAGGTGCAGGTGAAAGGCAGGAAGGAGCCTGTGCAGGTCCCTGGTCCTCCAGAGTCCTCCAGCAAAAGGCAGGGCAGCAGTACCACCACGAGGCACAAAACAGGGGGTAAAAACCACAGTGAGAGACCAATATTGCCTTTATTAGTAGCAATTGCTCATTCCTGTGGCACGTCGAGGTCCCTGTGGTGCTCAGGGCCTGGGCTGGGCCTGTTGTCAACCTGGCAGTGGTTTGGTCAAGCACTGCCCACTGGTGTTCTGAAATACACCTCTGGATTTTGGATGCTTTATCAGGACTGGTCCCTGTCTCCTACCCTGCTTCAGGTTGGCATTTTGGGCCTGGAGGTGCCAGGTTTTCCCTCCTTGACGGGCACCTGCAGCCCCTCAGCCTCAGTGATCATGGAATCATCATTTAAGTTCCATCCTCCTGCCATGGGACACCTCCCACTAGCCCAGGTTGCTCCAAGCCCTGTCCAACCTGCCTT